TGATGAGTGAGGCAAGGCAAGGCAAGTTTATTTATTTACTAGCACTTTCAACACGAAGGCAATTCAAGTGCTTTTTACAAAAATGAAAGCATTAAGAAAATGGCATTTAAAACAGTCATTAAAAAGCAAGATAATCAAATAAATATTAAAAGAAAAAATACATTGGATCAAGTTAAAGTGAAGTTAAGATATGAATAATTCAATTAAAAGCAGCCTGCAAAAAGAAAAGTCTCTAGCCCTGATTAAGTTAGTAAGAGTTGCAGCGACTGCATGTCTGGTAGTTTGTCCAGAAACATGAGGTCCGCTGCAACTCTTCTACTTTTTTAAATCCAGGCTAGAGACTTTTCTTTTGCGGTGCTTTTATTGAATTATTCATATTCTTAACTTCACTTTAAACTTTTGATCCATGTATTTTTCTTTTAATATTATTTGATTATCTTGCTTTTTATGACTGTTTTTTAAATGCCATTTCTTCTTAATGTCTTTCATTTTTGTTAAAGCACTTGGAAATTGCCTTGTGTTGAAAGGTGCTATGTATAAATAAACTTGCTTGGCCTTGCCTTTACACTCATCAATCTTAACGACTGTAAGAAGCTGTTTTGAGCAATTCTCGTTATCTACCTTTTTGATATGGACATTCTTTTCTTTAGCTATGTTCAATGGTGAAATAATACTTATACGTAAAGACATAGTTTACAAAAACTTCTAACTATCTAAGTTGGCATCAAAGTTATCACTGTGGCAGAATGGCCAATTAAAATGTAAAATATTAATGTTACGAATTTAATGGGCATTGAAGAGTTCTATATATATAATGATGTTTATCTATACTTTGTTGATATCTTATTATGAAATAATTGTTTATTTTGTTGAATTAATGTAGTGTACTACAAATTACAATATTTCGAATCACCGGGTGTAGCTAATGGAGTAGCCTACCAAAAGTAAACAATAAATACTTAAGTACGTCTTTGTTTGCTAGCCCTTTATCTTAACCTGGTGAAAGCCCATTGAGATCAAAAGATCTCTTTTTCAAGGATGACCTGCAGGACATTAGTTACACATGTAACATAAAAACAACAGAACAACAATAAGGATGACATACAACATAAAATAGTATATAGTAGTATAAGTAGGGTACCACAAAATTCTGCGTACAATAGCCTGCTTGAATGCCGTCTAAATCTATTTAACATGTGCATTAATCAACTGGATAAATAAAGGACTTATCATTCTGATTTAAATGTAGGACTATACTTTTTTACATTTGAAAAAAATAGCAGATCAATTGATTTTTTAAATCAGTAGTCGTTTATTTATCTACCTTTTTAGGATGTTGGCTTTGTAACTAATACACAATAATATTTTTAAAATGTTGTCATATGTTGTACTTTTAGTGATAACTCCGCCCTCTTCCTTAAAAAAGACCTAGAATCTGATGACGTCGTTACGTGAACGGTCGGTGGGGGACCGACAGACAGTGAAGAAAAGAAATGGCGATGCTCGGAGGGTTTAGTGCAGCACAGCACAAGAAGAACGTCTCTGATGGGAGCAGCGACGTGTCAGAATTCCTCTGCCCAGTTTGTCTCGAAATATTCGACAGTCCCGTAACGACACAATGCGGTCATACGTGAGTATTTTGCCTTTATATCTCGATCGTCCTCCCCTAAACCCTGCTCGAACACTAGCGATGCAAAGGTTCGATGTAAACATACTGTGCGGAAAGGATAGTTTTAAACATGTCCTGCCACCAGAGTTGCAAACATTGGACATGCGTGCTACTGTTTTTGTTATGATCCTATAATTGTATTCAGCTTACTTGTATATTTGCTAAAACCAATGCCAGTTGGCTAAACCAGTTTCAGTTTTGTTTACATCAAAGAGGCGACATCACCTGGGAGTTGTAGTTTCGATCCCCATTGCTTGGACGCACCAAATCACATTAAAGAACTACAAGTCCCTGCGCCCTCTTGAGGTGGGGACTTTCCATAGGACTTACAGGAAGCTCTAGTTGATAGCTGTACATGGATCTTCTAACAATCGAAAGCATCTGTTTCTGTATTGAAATGGGAGCCTATAAATAGTAGACACTTGTAAATAGATACCAGATCTAAAATGGATCAGAGTTGCCTGGATGTCTTGTTTCCCTTACTTGGTTCATCTTTACACTATTCACCCCTTTCTTGGCAGGTTCTGTCAGAGTTGTTTGCAGGAGTGTTTGCGTCCAATGAAACCCGTTTGTGCTGTGTGTCGGGCCGGGCTCGGCCACTGGACTAAAGCTGCTGACCTAGAGGCCGTCATCCAATCATCAGTGGCTGCATGTAAAGGATGTGGAGCACAGGTATTTCATGCAAAAGTTAACACATTCAAAAATTCGAACACTCATGGCATCTGAATGACCTTTGCTGGTTTGTTGTGAATTTGATTAGGAAAACATGCAAGGATATCATAACTACAAATGTCCAAACTTTATCGATACTGAGTCTAAGTCTGAGTGTCAGTATTTATACATTGACACAGTGAGAGAATTGCAGTGTCAAAACATTGAGAAGTGTATCATTTTGATTGTGCACTTGCTGATGTGTTTTTTCATACTATCCAGGTTGGTCTTTCTCAGATGAGAGGCCATACAGCTTCCTGCTCAAAATACCAGGAATATATTGAGGAGGGAGTGAGGACCACTGCCCAGAACCAGCCTGTCATCATTAGGTAAGATAGAGGGCCAATAGTAGAACACTGGCCCTGGCTGAAGTTACTCACTAACTCCCTATGGCCTCCATAATAAACATATATAATAAGCATTGCAGTCGTCTATAAGGGATGTTATAAATGCATGACCCAGAACTTCAGTGCTGGATTGAGACAGGGATGGGCGGAGTCTGGATAGGTTTTGTTTGTGAAAGAATGCAGTCCTGCTGATGTTTTTGATGTGGGGCGCAAAGGAGAGGGATCTGCCCAGGATGACTTGGGTGTTGTATTTCTTTAACACATTTATCAGAGACAAAGTGTTGTGTTGTAAGATTAAATACCTTATAGGAAAAGACTGGTGTTTTATAACCTGGATCCTGCTGTTTTAGTTTGATCTAGAAGTTGTGAACAGCATTTCTCCTCACCCCTATCACTGTAGAGGTGGAGGAAAATTAACAATCCAGTCTGATGGAGCCATTACAACACGTGCCTAAAACTGGTTCTTTGAACAACTTTCAACACTTGTGCATTCTCAAACTAAATCGTCTGCATGACTAAGGGAGAGTTGTATTTACATATACCACATCCTATTGTAAACAGATTGTTCTGCTTGAAGGGTGAACCCATAAGAAAGTAGCTATGCTGTGAGAAAGGCATCAATAATGATTTATACACAATAACAATTTTTGGACCCCATTATGACCTTTCAGAGTTTTCAGTAGATTTGCCTGTCCAGCTGTCTTATTTCCCTAGCATTACAATTTGAATGCAGTTTAGTTTTGACTTTATTGATGTCAATATTCTCACTTTAGTTTGCACATGTTCATGTTCAAGGATAAATTATTTTAAGGTTTTATAATGCATAAGTGTTAATTGTTTGGCTGTTATATCTACCTTGACATACAGGTTTTCAATTTTAAATTAGCAGCAGAGAAACGATTTGACATGTACATATATGGTGGAGTGCTGCCTACCTGAGTAAAGACTCAGCTCTCGTCTATCTGTGTTTTAATCCAAGCTTCTCTACCTGCAGCGCCATGTCAGCATTTTAGTGCCGATAAGTGCATGTGAGTTTCTATTTGTGGGCCCCACTAGCTAGGTCAATACTACTATGTTTATTATGACAATGTTACATTTTTGTGATTTACTATTTGTCAAAGCCATGCTTTGCTCTAAAGGCTCAGTTTCCGAGAGTCACCAGTTCGGCAGCAAATACAAGTACACATGGTTTTAGCTTGATTCATACTAGCAAGGAGAGCTACATCTGCTCTCCATGTTCAAATACAGAATCAGTGGTGTAACACATTTGATTGTTTCTGTATATTTCCTACAGTCCAGTACCAAATCGCTTCACCTTCACCTGCCCATACTGCAACTGCCAGAACCTCGATCAGGACGGTCTGGTCGAACATTGCACTTCCCAGCATGGTCGTGATACACGACAAGTGGTAGGAAATCTACACTACAATGTTGGAATAAGTTAGGGTTAATTTGTTTATAGATGCATTATTAATTTGACTGTGTCTGTTCAGGTGTGTCCCATCTGTGCCTCAATGCCTTGGGGGGACCCTAGCTACAGGAGTGCTGACTTTTTCCAGCACTTGAAGATCAGACACACATTCTCCTATGACACCTTTGTTGTAAGTTAAGGCCTTAAACATTGCCTAGAGTTTATCTTTGTGATGTTAACGATGAGTTTCCTAATTGGTTCTGTTTTCTTCTCTCCTTACGCCCATGTCTTTGTAGGACTACTCCACAGATGAGCACACAATGATCCAGGAAGCTCTACAGCGCTCCCTGATGGACAATTGAAGTGTGAATAACAATCCTGAGCAGGAATCCAGTGATGGGAAGATGGTGATGGGAAGTCTTGAAAAAACAGATTAACACACTGAAACTTTGTTCATCCTTCAAGAGGGGGGGTGGTAGTGTATTACTTTTGGTGATCAGTGTCACAGGACAATTGGTATTGTTGCTATTGATTTATAGGTTTATTAATCAGAAAATAAATCATACAATATGGTTAAAAAGCATATTGTACTTAGGAGTGATACTGTGTTTCTGGTGTGATAAACTCTTATCTTCCCCCCAGTTGAGTCGGTAGACTTGATAGTTTGTTAAATATCTACAGAATTTTGTTTGTTCAAGCTGTTTGTTCATTGATGGCACAGTGTCATATAGCCAAAAACTTCCAAAGTTGTAATTAAATGTCCCTGTCGTCAATACTTGATGTTATAAGAGGGTTCGACCACTAGGTGGCTAACTATTGCCAGCAAACGAAAGACTTCACTCAGTGAGGTGGTCAAGTAATGTTATCAATATTATATAATAGTCTACTAAAGAGTGACTCTGCATGTTTACTCTCGAAAGTGGAGAAGGGTTTTTTGTTGAATTAATAGCAGATGGAAGCTCTTTCTTTTTTTATGCTGTTTCTAGCATAGTTTGTGTGAGAGTGTATGTTCATTCTGTTTTCAGAGATCTACTGGAAAGAATAAATAATAAGAGGGTCAAACAAAGCCAAATGATGGCTGTTTGCGTTATTGTAATGTTTCTCCCTTATGTCTTTGTGCCTGCTGGTAGATCTTGTTTCTGACTTCCTAATCTCTTAGGGCTAATAGTTCATCCAGTGAACCAAAAGATGCAAATAGGAGACCATTAGTGTGTCATTATTGGTCAGTTTTGTGATTTTTAATTCGAATTAGATTTTCTGTTGCATGTTATTGGCCATAAGGGGGCAGTAGAGTTCCACCATCCATGACATCCACTGGCTCCCACCAGCCTTGTGGCTTCTTTCAAGACATAATTCAACACAGATTTCCTTCTATAAATGTGCTGTACTCAATGTGTTGTTCTCCAGCTTAGGTTTTATATGCAGCATACAAAAATGTCACTGATCTTTAGAGGTTTTAGTGGGGATATTTGTTATAACCATAACTTAGCTTTTAGACAGTCCATGACGTGACATCACTTCAGAATTTTAAATGTTATTACAGTAGTTTGTGTTTTAATGCCCAGTGTCTTGGTAGCTTCATCCCCAAAACACTTCAGTTTGTTTTGCTGGTTTTCATATTTCTTAACAACACTGACGCTACAGTTCTTAAATACAAAATCAACATGTTTATTATTTATATTTCTCAAAAAACTGGGAGCATGTACACTTACAAGAACATTTTGTTTGACTTTGCTTGATGTTTGCTGGATGTTTTTAATTTCAATTCTGAAAAATTGGATTGTGTCTACCTTCTTTTTTTTTTTTCAATGACTTGTAACTGTCACAAATCAACCATATACAATAGTGCAAATATTCACACATGGTTGCATTGCATTTGTCTTTTACCAACAGGTAAATAAATGATAATACACCCAGATCAAGTAGCTCGAGACAGAACCTTAATGCCTTTTCACGTAGTCTTTGGTGCCACTTAGCCCTAGATGTCTGTTTTCCTCTCCAGTAAAATCTGTAATAATTTTGTCTGTTTCTCATGTATAATGACCTTTTATCTTTCTCAATATATCTCTCATTCTCTTTTGTCAGCTCTGCTGTTAAGGGGTGCTAAATCCTGATAAATTAAAGCTCTTTAATTATTTAAACCCTGGCCCCAGAAATCAGGCGCAGTGATTTATACCTGTGTGTATGAGACGTGTGGGGGGAGAAACAACACTTGCTGCTTTGATTGATGACCACAGTGTGTGTGTGAGAGAGAGAGAGAGAGCAGTTAAAAGGGAGGTAATGTGCAGGGTGCATCAATCTAAAGTCTGGATTTGCTCTGTTGTCATAATCAGGCCCAGGGCAAAAGGTTTGTGATAGTGAAAATAACTCATTGTGGACTATGTGAAATAAGCCAACCTTTGTTCGTGTATTAGAGATCTGTGCAGGGATGCATCACTACAACAATGATATTGCAATGTGTTTTAGCATGTACTTGTATCTATGCTAAGGTTATGATGAAACTAAGGCCCTTCGGTGTATATTGTCCACAGGGAGAGAAACCCCTCTCATCTCCTGTGTTTCTTGTATGTGTAATTACTGTATCTAAATGATATTACAGTTTCTCACCTAGCTCTGTGGAGATCTCACCCACCAAAACTTCTTGATGTAGTCCCCCCTTTCTTCTCTTTTCTTCTCTTTTATTTCCCCCCCCCCACCCCGATCAGGTTTTTTGCTCCTGGCAGATAGAGGAGAGATGTTAGCTGTGAGAGAACTAACGAGATACTCGAGCGCTTCTGGGCAGGAAGGAAGTCGAGCTGAAAAACATGGCAGAGAGAAGTCTTTCTTGTCTGTTTGGTGGCGGAGCTAAAAAGGGAAAGGGGGGCCAAGGTGGGGAATAGGAAAAGGAAGAAAAAGAGGAGGAAGAGAAGTGAACACATTAAATAAAAATTTCATAAAGTTCAGCGTGTGGCTTCTTTGATGCGTGCAATAGATAGTGTGTGCAGTCTGCAGGCTCTGTGGAGGCAGCAATTAATGCTACATGTGCCCACAGGCACGCTGTGAGAGGCACGGGGACGGTGGCTTGTTTTAGAAGTGTGTCGCACCATCACTCCACCCTAGACAGCCTTTCTTTCAATGTATTAGACCTCTCTTTCTACCTCTTGAAATTCAGCATCCCTGAGCTTGTAGGTTTATACCCCCTTGGCCGCTCTCTAAACTAATTATCACTATAACTTTTTGAACAGTCATAGAAAAAAAGTAAATATTCCATCAATATTGTTAACATTTTTATTTAGAATAGAGATGAGTCATAAGAGAATATTTTCTCTGTCTTTTGCTTGATTTTGGCAGCAGTCTCCAAAGGTTTTGGACCTTGTTCAAATGTATGTTTTTTCTAAGGCCCTATCACACCTATAAGCCATGCAGTTTGCCTTTTACTCAGAGAGAATAGAGGGGCAAATATTAAAGTGAGTCTGGTAGAAATCATCAGGATTGACTTGTATCCATCACCTGGTTTATAGAGGAAATTTATCTATAGGCCTATATGATACACAGAAAGGGATTAGTTAGGAACTCCTCAAAATGCCTGGAAAGTTCTCTCTCATTTGGTCTATCTCTTTCTAGTTTTGCTGAGGCAGGTATCTGTGATGAGGTGTGGGGAGTGTGAGAGGAGCACTGGGAGTTTGTTCACCGTAAAATTCCTCAAAGTCAGGAGAAACAGGAAGAGCGGGAATCCTGCCACCCGGGCGGGTCGGTCCTCTCAAATGTTTGAACAGAAAGTGCCAGTGGGCTTCCCCGACATCAATACTGGTTCTACACCAACTCCTCTTCCGCTTTTAAACTCTTAACAACCGACCCCCTACCCTAGCGCCACACACACACACACACACACACACACACACACACACACACACACACACACACACACACACACACACACACACACACACACACACACACACACACACACACACACGTGTTGCTAGCCTAAGAGCAACAAGACTTAACTTTGATTTAATAATGCCTGCAACCTGCTTGGCACTGTATCAGCGAAGTGAAACTTGCACATCTTGTGTGTGTGTGGGTGTGTGTGCTTTTGTGCATCTAATTTTGTGCCCCCTAAAATTTGCCAACATTATGCCAGAAGCAATCAGAATAATAAGGATAACACAGTTTGTCTTTACTCCTGCACAATGTCTACTTTGTTCATTAAATCAAATAATTTATATTGAAAGAGAATTACTATTTTTCTTTCTTGTGTTTTCCCAAGCCAGGGACTTTGAATTCCTTTAGAAGCTTCTATGTGACTCCCTGAATCACTGCAAAACAATGAGGGGGAAATTCCTCATGACAGTTGTAGGAGTTAAAGCTTGGAAAGTTCTCAGAATCAATGTTTCTGCAGAAATATTGTCATGGAAGTGAAAATAAAACGCATCGGTATAACTATCAGGAGAATTGCTAATCATTGCTTCCTCATTTATTTATTTATTTGAAATCCGCACAGCCACTGTACTAATATTTGAAAGTTAAGCCCTCTAAGGTGTAAACTATGGGTGGGGGCATTTCCCTGGTGTATATGTGTGTGCTCATTCACTGTGTGTGTGTGTGTGTGTGTGTGTGTGTGTGTGTGTGTGTGTGTGTGTGTGTGTGTGTGTGTGCATGCGTGCGTGTCACAATGGAACAGCATTTGTCAAGTGAGGCAAGAGGATCTGATTTGCACTCCCCCTCACTATACCCCTGTAAAGCAACTAAGATGTGTGTGTGGAAGAGAGCAAGGCCCAAGGCTATTATTCTCCCATTAATTTTTCCATTTGAAATCAAACCTCAGCGGGCGTGCATGAGGGAATCAGAGGAGGGGGAGATGACTAGAGTGGGGATAACCTTATCAGGGGGGGGGGAACAAACTGTGGTTGTAGCAGCATTAATGTCCAATAGGGGAGGCAATTTCCCTTTCAAAGGAAGCCTAATTATTTGTCTCCGCTCTCCATCCTTAGCCTTCCTGGTACGGCATGCCTTGAGGGAAAACTGCCTGCCATGAGGAAATTGTTAGATTTTTTGTTTTATAACTACACAATTATTTTAACAGTTGAGAAAGTCATACATGATCTGCTTTGACTGGTCAGAGAGGTTTTATCTGCCCATCAAACACACTGATACAGTAAAACTGTACGGTCCTGTAAATGACTCATTTTACCAATGTATTTATCAAAGTAAACCATCTTATATCTTTATATTCCTCAGTACACCACTCCCACACACCTCCTATACCTCACTTTTCATCTTAGAGTTTCCTTCAATTCCAATCACCAATCTCCATCCTGTTTCCCCCCGGTCTTTCTTTGAAAAAGCGCCATTGCTTGCTAATCTGTCAATCAGATGTTGTCCTGTTGTGGCGATGATGGGGGTCCCTGGCGGTGGGCCGTACACCTCCAGCAGCTCGCAGCTCAGTGCAGGTCGATGATTAACCAGGCAGGTATGAGTTAAACTGCTGACAGCAGAAACACACTGACAGCTGATTTGGAAGACAATGGTCCCGCTCCCTCTACTTAACTTGTCACGGCAGTCAAAGCACCTTCTCCATTAACTTCTGACATATCTGGAAAGATGGAGGGAAACACTAATTTATTGCATTGCACTCACAATATATATATATTTGGACACGTTCACTTAGCACAAATACTTATAAACATCCTAACAGATCTATTTTGGAAGACAAACAGAAGTTATCATGCTATCAATGAGTAAGTAGTGAATATAAAATGCACAGAACACATGCAGCATAAAGAGTCAAATGGAATAGATTAGAAACTTGAGGAAGCTTGTTCTTTGAAATTCAGATTAATGGCATTAGTGTTTCATTACAGGTCCATCAGAGCTTGAAAGTGAATAACAGTATAATGACATTATTAAAGTACTGCAAATCGTTATTGTGGTTGTGATATTACTGTGAATAGCTTGTGGGAAACATCAGGAGACACTTAAACTGTTTATCCAGAAGTGAAGGCCGTACAGTTTGCTGTCAGAGCTACAGCAGCGCACAACAACGAAACCCAACATCGCCTTGTCTCTCAGATTAATAGTCCAACACTTCCCAATTATTAACCGCCCCTGCAGTGTACCATTCATATTCAAAGCTATTTACCTCCCTCCACTTCCTGTGCTTTGTGTCTTGTGTCTTTACAGGAAGGAATGGACGACGCTGGCAGATCTGTCAATCAAACAGCAGCCCCCAACCACCAGTGGCTGCCCATAGACAGGCGCCCATACACCTCCATCGGCTCCGGTCCCTCCTCAGCTCAATGAGTAACTAACCTGCAGGTATTGAATCAAACTGCTGACAAGCACATGGAGGGGAGGGGAGATGGGGGCTGTGTAGGTGGATGGATGGAGAGACAGAAAGGGAAGGGGAGGATGGAAATGACAATAGCATCATTTTATAGCCCACCTTGGTGACGTAACCTTTAACTTTGCAAAGAAGGATTGGTTTCTTCCCTGCTCATCCAGCCTAAAGTTTTACATTTTTTCCCTCAAGCAAATCTCCTTCTCACTCTTTAAGTGGCATCCTTTGATGGGCTGTCCCTCTCTCTCATCTTGTCTCCTTAGACAGATGAGTGCTGTCAGCGCTGCCATCACTGCCCAGCTAAACATTAATGACTCTCTTGCCTGACAAGTGTTGGCAGGGCAGAGGAGAGGTGAAAGGGGGACGCCTCTGGACTAAACCAGATGAAAAGGAGAAGTGATGGCTTTATCTGCTTGACAGATTCTCTTTTGTCTCTCTGAACTTGCGTATATGTATGTGTGCCATCAGCAAATTCTTGGCTTGACATGACGGTTTTATTGCCCGGTTTTTCCTCCCCTCTGAGGAGATGGACCTCCTTGTATTCCCATTGCCCCTCATCCTTTCTACTGGCATTTCTGACATTCCTTCAAGTATCTGTG